GATGCGGGACCCGAACCGCGGGGAGAACGCATTTGGCCATCTTCCGAAAATAAAGCCAGTCGAGATCGCAGCACTCTCACAGAAAGAGACTCGCAATGAGCACAAGCAGCTTCCTCGAAAGCTGCTTGAGCGTGCTGTCTTCCCAAACATGACACACACATCTCATGTGGATCCCCAGCCGAGAGAAAACGAGGGCACGGGAACACACATTTCCTGAACTGATCAGCCATACTGAAGTTTTTCTCAAAGCAGACAAACGACACCAAATAAGACTCACAAAACACAGAGCGCTTGCTGAATAGCAAAAAGCTTACCTTGCTTGTGCCGGTGTGCCTTTGTACACATCCGTGTATGCCGTCACTCGCTACGTCATCACGCAACGCCAATAGGATTGGATTCGGTTTCATTCATGAATTCAGACGCGCTACGCTGAAGGGCGTTCCCCTAGTGTCGTCACCGACGCAGTTCGAGTTCCCTCGAAAGGGAACGTTCCAACTTCGTTCTCCATGACAGTGAAAATATAACTATAAATGAAACCTGCATAAATCCCTGCGGTTCGTCCTGTAAAGAGGCTCCACTTTCAGTCCTAACAGACGACGGTTCCACTGCGTGAGCTCTCACACACTCTCACACACTCTCACATACTCTCACACACTCTCACACACTCTCACACACTCACACACACTCTCACACACTCTCACACACTCTCACACACTCACACACACTCTCACACACTCTCACACACTCTCACACACTCTCACATACTCTCACACACTCTCACACACTCACACACACTCTCACACACTCACACACTCTCACACACTCTCACATTCTCACACACTCTCACACACTCTCACACTCTCACACACTCTCACACTCTCACACACTCTCTCACACTCTCACACACTCTCACACACTCTCACACACTCACACACACTCTCACACACTCTCACACACTCTCACACTCTCACACACTCTCACACACTCTCACACTCTCACACTCTCACACACTCTCTCACACTCTCACACACTCTCACACACTCTCACACACTCACACACACTCACACACTCTCACACACTCTCACACACTCACACACTCTCACACACTCTCACACACTCTCACACACTCTCACACACTCTCACACACTCTCACACACTCTCACACACTCTCACACACTCTCTCACACACTCTCACACACTCTCTCACACACTCTCACACACTCTCACATACTCTCACACACTCTCACATACTCTCACATACTCTCACACACTCTCACATACTCTCACACACTCTCAAACACTCTCTCACACACTCTCACACACTCTCACACTCTCACACACTCTCACACACTCTCACACTCTCTCACACTCTCACACACTCTCACACACTCTCACACACTCTCACACACTCTCACACACTCACACACTCACACACACTCTCACACACTCACACACTCACACACTCTCACACACTCACACACACTCTCACACTCTCACACACTCTCACACTCTCACACACTCTCACACACTCTCACACACTCTCACACACTCTCACACACTCACACACTCTCACACACTCTCACACACTCTCACACACTCTCACACTCTCACACACTCTCACACACTCTCACACACTCTCACACACTCTCACACACTCTCTCACACTCTCACACTCTCACACACTCACACACTCTCACACACTCTCACACACTCTCACACACTCTCACACTCTCACACACTCTCACACTCTCACACACTCTCACACACTCACACACTCTCACACACTCTCACACTCTCACACACTCTCACACACTCTCACACACTCTCACACACTCTCACACTCTCACACACTCTCACACACTCTCACACACTCTCACACTCTCACACACTCTCACACACTCTCACACTCTCTCACACTCTCACACACTCTCACACACTCTCACACACTCACACACTCTCACACACTCACACACTCTCACACGCTCTCACACGCTCTCACACACTCTCACACACTCTCACACTCTCTCACACTCTCACACACTCTCACACACTCTCACACTCTCACACGCTCTCACATACTCTCACCTGCTCTCGCCGGGCATGAGCGAATCACATACCCTACAGATCCACACCCAAAACATCTCATCGCTTCTGATGTTACATGCACATGTTCTAAAAGACACAACATGTTTAATATGCGGAGACTTACAGTACAGCTGATTGGAATCATCTTTATCTGAGACACTATTTCTCTGTCTCCCCAGCTTGTTTTTCAGAAATGGGGGTACATTCGAAATGATTTTCCTTTTTAGCAGGACTTACTAGGGACAAAACTGGTGTGTAGGAACCTTGAATCACACATCCGCTCTCAAGTAGCTGATTTATTTTGTCTATGTTCTCTAGAAAATCACAATAGCACTATTCATTCTTCAAGCAGATTTAACACTTTCATATCCAAGAATCTCCCCGACTGCTAGACTTCACTCTTCAACCGAACACCATCAGAAGGAGAGAGTTTAACAGCATGTCGGAGCGTCAGTTTGTGTGAGCTAAACTGTTCACCTGCAGCCCTACTGACCGGCCACAAAAATAACCCTCCACCGAACACTGTTTCTCTAAACAACACCACAAAACATCCACAGAGAAACAAGAGTTTAAGAAAACGAGAATCAGAAAACTTTTCAAAAAACTTTAACACGCTCTCAGCAGAACAAACCATGCTCTCTCCCAACACACACTCAGAGAGAGAGAGAGAGAGAGAGGGAGAGGGCGAGGGGAGGGGGGAGAAAACCAGTGAGCCTTAGCTTTCATTTCCACACAGCCAGGACTAAAAACACACACACACACACACACAATCATTGAAACAATGTTGAGTCAATGTTGATTCTTCAATGCTAATTGCATTGAATTAACGTTACAAAGTGATGTTGGTTCAATATCACTTTTGCACCTGTAATTAATGTTGAAACAATGGTGAAATTTGAACAAAAAATCAATGGTAATGTCATTGCATCCACATTACACTTTGATTGATTATACATCACTGATGTTGAATCAATGCTTAACCCTCTGGGGTCGGCTATCGCGCCGGCGCGACGAACTCACTTTTTTCCTTATCAGTGCAAAAGAGACTCAAATTACTCTGTTGATTTTGATCTTAAATATAAGTGTTGTACATCATTAGATCCTGCTGAGTGTCTATTTTTTTGTGGATAATCACAATAAAAACAAAGTGTTGTGCTTTTCGTCAAATAAAGAAAAATAAACATGATGCGAATTTTGCGTTCTCTCTGTCAGTGAAGTTCATTCTGAAACGCGTCCGAAAATGAACTGTAACTAAGTAAATACTTGTCACAGAGACACAAAAGATTTCTCTTTATGAAGCTGAAATTCTCTTCTTTTAAATGAAGTAATTTTATGTGAATGATTAGGCAGGATGATTTTCAAATCATTTTGAAGCAAAAACTCTAGGCGACAACATCCAAAAGTCTTGTGGACAGATATTTAGTATGTGTTGTGTGGCCTTATTTCAAAATCAGCAGAGTATTTTGAGTCTCTTTTGCACTGATAAGAAAAAAAGTGAGCTGGTATCGCCGGCGATACCGCCGACCCCAGTGGGTTAACAATTTGAGAACAAAGTATAATTTGCACGGTTTGACGTGATATGATAAGCGATTGTTAGATTTAATCAGCGCGATTTACTGCAATGTCAGAACCAGAACAAAAGTGGATGTTTCTTACTTGTTCAGATGACATTTTCCGGTGAAAATTATTATGTTGGTCATACTTCCAAAAAGAATAATCTGTGATTGTGAATGCCGGTATCCACACCGGCGCGGCGACTGACACACACACTCTCCTCAAACATTGTGTTCATCCGCGCTGTGCCGTGTCGAGGGTGTCGAAGTACAACTCACGTAAAGCTGATAATTCCGAGAATAACTGCACTTGCAGATTTCGAGAAACAGAGATGGCGACAAAGAGGAAAAACTGCGGACTGCAGCTTTAACAAAACTAATCAATGGTGATAGTGCTTAATCAATGTTACACTATGATGGATTATAACATCACTGCTGGTGAATCAATTGTTTGAAAAATGTTACAATGTGATATTGATTCTAAATAACTTTTGTTGAAACACTGAACATACAACTGATGCAAATTAACTCAAGGGAAATATGAATAAATAATTTTAACTTGTTATAATTCATTATAAATCTTTGGATCAGTTAATAGAATTAATTTGATGTAGCAGAAGTAATACCACAATCAACTAACCTGTTAGTCAAACAAGACTTTATTAACTTGACTAAACACTTAGACTAACCAGCTACACTTCAGTGTTATGTCAACAAATTCCTGACCATTTCAAAGTTTAGGGAAAATCTTTTAAATTATAAATGACACCTTTCCAGCAGTTGAGTATTTTTTTTTTTCTTCTATTTAACAGTTTAACACAATTAATGACGAAAAAATATAGAAGATCATTCTTTTTAAAAAAAGTGGGACAAAAGCATTACAATCTTTAAAAATAAAATTAGTTTCAGAAGTCTGATGTCATTATGGTGGTCCAACGGTTCAGGTTTTACATCAGACGATTGCATCTTTTCCTTTGGCTTCCCTGAAATCTGGAAAAAAGAAAGAATGATGTTACTTAAGATCAAGTCAATTCAGTTGTCATACAGTCACATCCAAGCATGTTAATATGCTAAACACAGTATGATTCACTTTCTTTAAAATCGTTCAACACAAAACATTCTAACTATGATTATAGTATCATTAAAATCTGTTGATTTAATCTATTTTTCTAAAAATCTATTAACTCAATATGAAATGAAAGCACTATGGCTGGGATGTGGAGTTTATCCCAGCCCGAATTAAACACACCTGAAGCATCTGATCTTAGAAAGCCTCCAGTCGGTGTGTAGCTAAACTCTTCATGAAGAGGAATAAACACCTCTGAACTACGGCCATCTCAGTTCATTTCACATTAAGTCAAGTCAAGTCAAGTCACATTTATTTATATAGCGCTTTTCACAATACAGATTGCATCAAAGCAGCTTCACAGTGATAACATGAAAGTAGTACAACACAGTTCAATAATATTGTTGAATATTAAATATCCCCAACTAAGCAAGCCAAAAGCAAGGCGACAGTGGCAAGGAACCAAAACTCCATCAGATTGGATGGAGAAAAAAACCTTGGGAGAACCCAGGCTAGTCAGGGGCCAGTTCTCCTCTGGCTAACAATCATAGCTTTACAGTAAGTGCATATCAGAAAGTACCTGGAAAAAATACATTTAGTTAATCATGTAATATTTAGGGGATAACATATCGCCGGCGTTGAGTCGTCTCTTCGCAGGCGTTAAACTACAAAGCATTCAAGTGATGAGTTTATCTTGTAGAATAAAAAAGCTTATGATTTCTTTAAAGCTCTCTTTAAATATCACAAAATAGCCATGTCATTCAGTTTCTCATAAACACAAGATGTTTTTTGTGATTGTTTCCGTGCTAAACTGAATGGAAATCAGTTACATAAGTCAAATATAACAGTCATTGAGGAATATGAATGATTACCTGATTAAGCAGTAATCAGAGAGCAGGATAAAGCATCAAAGGTGATTATGCTGTCGACTACAACTCGATGACGTATAATCGATGTCAGCATTATCAGGAGGTGCATCTCATTTTTCAGTTGTCCATCCTCATCTGCCGTCACTAAAGGAGAGAAGGCAAGGTGTTCTGCAAGGCTTCTCGCAACAGACTGTGAGATCTCGTCTCGCTGTGAAAATAGGCTTGTTTGAGATGCGCTTGCGTCGCCTGACATGTAGTCGAGAGTAGGCGGCTGTGGTGAGGGGAGGAGTGAAGGAAGCGCAGGCAAGCCGGACAGATCTCTCTTCTCGCAGTGGATCAGACACCTACGAGATCAAATCGCGGGATTCACGGGATTCATGCTCGTGCACGGTGTTGCTAATAAACTGGATGTAATTTAAGTTCTGTTGCTTTTATATGAAAATAAATATAATTAACAAGACACCCAAAGTACTTGCTATTTAATTACATTCCAAATACGTGTTTATCAATCCTTTTTTCTTTAATACAGACATGTGTCACCGGGTGAAACAAATAGGAACCTTAAAACCAGGATTTGTTGCACGGGGGAGCGACTTCTGGTGTAACACCGGGCCGGTTCCGGTGACATGTCATGGCCGCCGGGATTGACGAGCGCCAGCTGTGGACACCAATCAGGCCGTTATCAGTGAGCACATGCGGGAAGAGGCATATATAAGGAAGTTTGAAGACATAGGGCGTGTGGGTTCTTGGTGCTTGTGTTTCATGTTGGGTTCCCCTTGGCTCTCTTGTTAGTGGTCAGCAGGAAGTGGCGGCAGCAGCGAATGCAAGTGTGAGGATGTTTGCACATTGGGGACCGGTGAGTGACTGGCAAATGGAACTGGGAGAACAATGATTGAGGACAGTGCTGAAGATCCACGCTGTTATCAAGGAGAGAAGTTAAGTGCACTTTTCATTAACTTATGAAAGAGTGATGTCATGAAGACTTACCAAGAACATTCTGAATATTGACTTGCGCTGGCTGGCAGTGTGTATTGTTTCTCTCGCTGTGAGTCTCAGAGACAAGGAAGGAACTGGGCTTTATAGGATCGCTCTTGAAACCTGATACCCCCGTGTGAAAAGCTATCTGTGGATCGTCTGACCCTGCAAAGATGGAGTGAAGGCCTGCTGTTCACGTGAGGTGGTGTGGCATTGCAGTGTCTGAAAGTGTGAAGTGAGCACGTGTGAAGAGTTATAGTATTGACACATGCACGAGTGTGGGAGACCGAATCACTACCATCACTCTGTAATCTTTGTTCGGGAAAGCCTAACCAGTGGGGCATCAAGAATTTAATCTGATCTGTCGAGTCACCGATGTTAAGGCCAAGGGTTATTTACCACACTCCGGAGGAGCAGACACCAGAGGCAGACAACCAAGGTAAGTTAAAAAGGTAAGTATTTATTAAATTTATAAAAGAATAAAAGCAGGAACAGGCAGTGGCTTTTTTCGTCGTCAGACTCGTTGAATCAGCTCGTGGGACAGACAGTGGCTTTTCTCGTCGTCAGACTCGTTGAGTCAGCTCGTGGGAGAGACAGTGGCTTTTCTCGTCGTCAGACTCGTTGAATCGGCTCGTGGGACAGACAGTGGCTTTTCTCGTCGTCAGACTCGTTGAATCGGCTCGTGGGACAGACAGTGGCTTTTCTCGTCGTCAGACTCGTTGAATCGGCTCGTGGGACAGACAGTGGCTTTTCACGTCGTCAGACTCGTTGAATCGGCTCGTGGGACAGACAGTGGCTTTTCTCGTCGTCAGACTCGTTGAATCGGCTCGTGGGACAGACAGTGGCTTTTCTCGTCGTCAGACTCGTTGAATCGGCTCGTGGAACAGACAGTGGCTTTTCTCGTCGTCAGACTCGTTGAATCGGCTCGTGGAACAGACAGTGGCTTTTCTCGTCGTCAGACTCGTTGAATCGGCTCGTGGGACAGACAGTGGCTTTTCTCGTCGTCAGACTCGTTGAATCGGCTCGTGGGACAGACAGTGGCTTTTCTCGTCGTCAGACTCGTTGAATCGGCTCGTGGGACAGACAGTGGCTTTTCTCGTCGTCAGACTCGTTGAATCAGCTCGTGGGACAGGCAGTGGCTTTTCTCGTCGTCAGACTCGTTGAATCAGCTCGTGGGACAGGCAGTGGCTTTTCTCGTCGTCAGACTCGTTGAATCAGCTCGTGGGACAGACAGTGGCTTTTCTCGTCGTCAGACTCGTTGAATCGGCTCGTGGGACAGACAGTGGCTTTTCTCGTCGTCAGACCCGTTGAATCGGCTCGTGGGACAGACAGTGGCTTTTCTCGTCGTCAGACTCGTTGAATCGGCTCGTGGGACAGACAGTGGCTTTTCTCGTCGTCAGACTCGTTGAATCGGCTCGTGGGACAGACAGTGGCTTTTCTCGTCGTCAGACTCGTTGAATCGGCTCGTGGGACAGACAGTGGCTTTTCTCGTCATCAGACTCGTTGAATCGGCTCGTGGGACAGACAGTGGCTTTTCTCGTCGTCAGACTCGTTGAATCGGCTCGTGGAACAGACAGTGGCTTTTCTCGTCGTCAGACTTGTTGAATCAGCTCGTGGAACAGACAGTGGCTTTTCTCGTCGTCAGACTCGTTGAATCGGCTCGTGGGAGAGACAGTGGCTTTTCTCGTCATCAGACTCGTTGAATCGGCTCGTGGGAGAGACAGTGGCTTTTCTCGTCGTCAGACTCGTTGAATCAGCTCGTGGGACAGACAGTGGCTTTTCTCGTCGTCAGACTCGTTGAATCGGCTCGTGGGAGAGACAGTGGCTTTTCTCGTCGTCAGACTCGTTGAATCGGCTCGTGGGACAGACAGTGGCTTTTCTCGTCGTCAGACTCGTTGAATCGGCTCGTGGGAGAGACAGTGGCTTTTCTCGTCGTCAGACTCGTTGAATCAGCTCGTGGGACAGACAGTGGCTTTTCTCGTCGTCAGACTCGTTGAATCGGCTCGTGGAACAGACAGTGGCTTTTCTCGTCGTCAGACTCGTTGAATCAGCTCGTGGAACAGACAGTGGCTTTTCTCGTCGTCAGACTCGTTGAGTCAGCTCGTGGGACAGACAGTGGCTTTTCTCGTCGTCAGACTCGTTGAATCCGCTCGTGGGACAGACAGTGGCTTTTCTCGTCGTCAGACTCGTTGAATCAGCTCGTGGGACAGACAGTGGCTTTTCTCGTCGTCAGACTCGTTGAATCGGCTCGTGGAACAGACAGTGGCTTTTCTCGTCGTCAGACTCGTTGAATCGGCTCGTGGAACAGACAGTGGCTTTTCTCGTCGTCAGACTCGTTGAATCGGCTCGTGGGACAGACAGTGGCTTTTCTCGTCGTCAGACTCGTTGAATCGGCTCGTGGGACAGACAGTGGCTTTTCTCGTCGTCAGACTCGTTGAATCAGCTCGTGGGACAGACAGTGGCTTTTCTCGTCGTCAGACTCGTTGAATCAGCTCGTGGAACAGACAGTGGCTTTTCTCGTCGTCAGACTCGTTGAATCAGCTCGTGGGACAGACAGTGGCTTTTCTCGTCGTCAGACTCGTTGAATCGGCTCGTGGGACAGACAGTGGCTTTTCTCGTCGTCAGACTCGTTGAATCAGCTCGTGGAACAGACAGTGGCTTTTCTCGTCGTCAGACTCGTTGAATCAGCTCGTGGGAGAGACAGTGGCTTTAAAGGTGTGTTGAGCTTTTCTCCCCTGCACACGATCTCAGGGACCTGGACACAGCTGAGGGGACAGATCAATTCGAAAGAATCTCCAAAGTTATGGGTCAATTTCATCCATCAGAAACTCAGAGAAGACAGTTGTTTGATCTCACCACACTCGTGCATAAATCACTCTTGTAAATCTCCACACGTGTTTAATTCACTCTTTTAGACACTGCAAACTCACTCTATCTTCACAGCGATTAATCAACTCGTTTCTCTTTTCTTCATAGGATGTATGAACCACAGAATATTGGACTCAGAAGATAAACATGGATTCAGCGATCTTCCCAGCCGAAACTGTTACTGTCAACTAGGGATGCACCGAATCCAGGATTCGGATTCGGCCGAATATTGGGCTTTTTAACGGGGTTCGGTTTCTGCCGAACCTCAGAATTTTTTTCCACCGAACCGAACCCTAGGCTTGCACTACGCGCGCTACGTCGAAGTCACCGATCAGTGAATGACATCAAAGTACCGCGTGAACGAATAGAGAGCAGACGGCTCCTTATGCTTTTGAATTGCTCTCGCGGGACTTTGATGTCATAAACTGATCTGTCTGTGCAGCGCCGGTTCAAGTCGAACAAGCCTGTAGTAGTTATTGCAGAGGCCAGACAGACTCGGGAGGCGATTGGCATCTCACAACTCGCACTTTATTCCACAATCGAACTTGTGTAACTGTCTGTCACACGTTCTACCGTCCACAGCGTTACTTAACAAAATAAGGTAAAAATGAGCATCAAACAGAAATAACCCGCATACATGGGCATGTGTTCGAGGCGCACGACACATACGGCGCGCAGTTCTTAAAGGGGACACACCTTATTTCCACTCGCTACAGTAGGTGGACCGTTCGAATGCAGTAGGCTGTGAGAAAGTGAAAATGGAACTCATGAGCAGAAAAAGTGT